GGGCCGTAAAGGCATTTTCAGAAAGTAGTGAAGCAAAGTGAGTCTTTAGTGAGGACTGAAAATGTTTTTCCTAAAATTTCAAAAGGTTTTGTTAGATCTATTGGTTTTGGTCGCATTTTTCTTTCGCTTTGCATGATTTTCTTGTAACAAATTCATATTTCGTTCCAGCTCCCTGTGTGTGTTTTAAAAGTAAACTGTGAACTGTGTTAAGTTTCAAAAAATCCACAAGCAGAAACATTTTGATTTTGGGGGGTGCTTTCGGGCACTAAAACAAAACCAAACAGGGGGAAAAAAACTAATATTTGTACAGCTGTACTTTTGATTTTTCACATGTATTCCTTTATTGAGTTATTACATAACTAAGAGGTTTTTTCTTTGTTGTGGTTGGTAAAAATCACGTTCGAATGAACATACTTTGCATCAGGGGTGTCAAACTCAAGGCCTGGGGGCCAAATCCAGCCCGTGACTTCAATTGATGTGGCCCACAAGAGCTTGCAAAGAATAAAATATGTTTATTTTACGGTTACATTGCGATTTACAGAAGCACGTTGCCCATAAACTACATGTCCCACAATGCATCTCAAATTTGACTTTTTTCTCAGAATTTGACTTTTTTTTCAAAATGTCATTTTTACTTTTTTTTCAGAATTCGGCTTTTCTTTTTAAATCATTTTGGGACATTCTCACTGAAGAGACTTGCCATTTTTTGCCATAGACTTCTGCTTTCAGACGTAGTTAATTATGAAGTTATTACCCTATCCGACAATAATCCAATGCAGAGGCAATAATGTAATATAATACATTATTTTATATTTATTACATATTTATATATGTATTTTTATATAGTCTTAAAGTTACAACCGGCCCTTTAAGTGCAACCATAATGCGAATGTGGCCCGTGATGAAATTGAGTTTGACACCCCTGCTTTACATCCTAAAATCTAAAACATTCAGCTCAGTGGTGCATATATCCAAAATGAGTTTCTACTTTAACCCAGGCACTGAACACTTCCGTCAGTCGATACAACTCAATCCTGATTAGGACAAAGTAATCCTGTTAGACGCCAGGGTAGACCTTCTTAGATTTATCCGTGACCAGGTGATAGGCTTTCTGAAAACATGAGCAGTTAAACCCGCCACATGGCTGTAACGTCACTGTAACTGAGGTGCAGTTATGTCAATAGATAAGAAAGCACTGGCTAGTATTAGAGCCACATTTACACCCATGTGAACCCGATAGAGGTAATTTATTTACACTTTTCAATTAGGTAGTTGCACAGTGACTAGCCTATTGGTTTCCTATCAGCATGCTTTACCACACATGAGTAAAACTGCAGGTAAGTTACATAATCGATTCACGTTTTATAGGCGAATGCTTTCTTCCACACGAAAAAGAAAGTATATACTTTACCTTTTACCTTGAAGTGAAGTCAATTCGACTATCCTTCTGGAAAAACATGTCAGGAACTTTATTGTAAAGTCCTCTTTATATAATTTAAAGTTTTTTACAGTCTCTCTTTGTAATTTTTTTGCTAGCACTGGCTAACGTGGAGGGAGATTGTCCTTCTCAAGACATAAACCCCTCAGTGAGGCAGATGTGATAGTTGCTTCCCTGGTGCTTTTCATCGCAGTTTTATGACAACACCAGCAAGGTGTACCTTTTGAACATAAGTTACCTGGACTATGGAAGGCCAGGACATGTATTGAGGTCTACATAAATTGGTAAAACAGAGATAGTAACAGACACATGTTTCTTAGGGGTTGCAACATCAGAGGGGAGGATGAGTTTATTGCTACCTCACTTTGTGTCTCTCACAGCAGTGGATCTCTGCCTCCCGCTACAGCCTGTCTCTGGGCACCTACTGAGTGTGCACTGTAGGTATGTCACAGAAGCTGTTGGATGTATGTCACAGTAAATGCTTCCATTAATATTTTCCAGGTGAACATAACCAGCTGGTGCACATGGTAATAAACTGAATGATATGTGATATGGAACCAAACGGCAACCTGCAGTGCAGAGCAGTGATGCCATGTGTGCGGAGAGTTGCAGTAGCATCAAAATGGCCACTTGAGGCTCTAAAACGTTGTCTCCATTGTTAAAATGATCAACTAAAGAGCAGAAATAACCACGTTTACAGCTTGGTACAGTATTGGTCTTTCATGCCTTTCTTTCTATTTGCTTGATAAGTGTCAGTGGGTAAATTTGTTGTAAAAATGTACCTGTTTGAGTTGTATTAAGGCCATTTTCCAAAATCAGATGTATTTTATTACAACCCAGTCTCACGGCATTTCGTGTTATCACAAAATGTATCTATTGATTCGTGTTCACCAACACGATTTCCCCATTTTTTTCGTGTCACACTAAAAGCAATGTAAATAATAACAAATTATAAGGAAAAAAAGATTAAAAAAAATATAGATTTCAGTATTCTGAGGCTCTGAGCCCCATTTATTTTCCTCACGGACGGCAAAAAAAGTCTGACATACAATTTAAACTAAAAACGATAATCGTGGCTTGATATTGAGTAAGAAAATGTTTTTATGAACCACACTGCTTCTGGTCTTCCAAGACCCGACAAAAAGACGTGGTGCAGGCACGAAACATACTACCAATAGAAATACATTTTAAAATCGTTCTGTGTGACACGAATCAATAGATTACATTTATTTTGTGACTATTACACAAAATGCCGTGAGACTGGGTTGTTTATTAAGGTCCTACAGTATGTTATCTATACTTAACAAGGAGACAGCTGAAGGGTGTTAATACATTATAAAGAAAAACAACTTAGATAAAGTATCATTTCAATGTCACAGAATCTTTTTAAATCCATGTTATAGTTGCTCCTATCAAAGTTTGTCTATGCAGTATGCAGGGACTTACAGATAGACAGTAAATACCACAGAGGATTAAACCTGTGACCCTCGTTAAAAGAGGATAGGCCTGATGAGGAGACTAAACACAACTGAGACTTTTAGAAGATCCAACCTTTCTTAAACACAAAAAAGACACCAGAGACGCAGATCTGTACGGTCGGATGTACTATAGACCATAATCCTAAAAAAGGTAGAGATGTTCAAGATCTTAAATATCAGGAAGGAATGTACATCAAGACATAACATTAACATCAAAGCTTGGTTTTAAGGACAATCATTTGGTAATGCTAAAAAATGTGGACACAAAGATAATCCTGCATCAATGTGCAAACCCACACACATATAGAAACGTTTATTCTCTGATTTAGCAGCGTTGCCTAAACCTCAATTTAACCTCAACAACTAAAAGCCTAATCTTACTAAATTACCCTTGTCCCTCCAATTTAACAATTATCTTTCCCAGGTTGCCATGTTGCCATGATAGAGAGAACAATCCTCCAGAAATCCTTTTAAATAGAACTTGTGTTGATATTGTTGACGTCAGCTCTTCTCTTGCTATCAATATTCCCCACATTCGGAAAGCATAAAACCAGGAAGACATAGCCTGAAGTATCTTTTGATATACTATCAACTTAAAACAGACTGATTTTAAATGCCATTTTCTTAATATCTTTCATTTTTTGTAAAGCACTTTGAATTGCCTTGTGTTGAAAGGTGCTATATAAATACACTTGCCTTGCCTTGCCTTGCATTGCCTTGCCTTGCCTTGCCTTGCCTTGCCTTGCCTTGCCTTGCCTTGCCTTGCCTTGCCTTGCCTTGCCTTGCCTTGCCTTGCCTTGCCTTGCCTTGCCTTGCCTTGCCTTGCCTTGCCTAAAACAAACTACCTTTGATAAGAGTTAAACCAAAGTGTTCCAGTCAGTCCTCATAAAAAGCAACAAAACCCAACCTATATTCACAGTAACTGATGACGAGTGGTCCTCAACCTTTTTCCATAATGGGACCAGTTTTTTATAACATTGACCCTAATGTTCACTGTCATTTTTATGGATATCTCCCACGATAATAAATGAGGCCAGGCGCCAGGAGGAAAGGGCTGTTAAAACTGTACAGGGAGCATTTTTCTTTCACAAAGTAAAATAGATTTGACCATGCAAAGCCTCAGAAGTGCTAAATAAGAGGAGCAAAAGGCTACTGTTTCAAATTCAAAGAATACATTTGTCATTTAGAGCACTAAGACAAGAATGTATTATTCACATTTCTTATTTTCACACACACACACACACACACACACACACACACACACACACACACACACACACACACACACACACACACACACACACACACACACACACACACACACACACACACACACACACACACACACACACACACACCAGACTTGTGGAGATAACAATTCTGGCAAAAAAACAACCCGACACAAATCAAATTGTATATCTTAAGTTGAAATAATTTTGCTAAAAATATACAATTCTATAATAACTTCAGGATTTATTTATGTTTATAACAACATTTACACGTCACAGTTTAAGACTGATTAAATAATATTTATAGTACAAAATTAGTAAACTTGCATATAATAAAATGTCGACGCATCATATTTAAAAATGTACTTCTATACAGACAAATTAATTGTAAAAAGCAGTTACCTTAATAATCAAATGTTAAAGAAAACCTAAAATAACATTATAAATGAAAGAAGTCTTCCATTAATAACCTGTCATTGTTTGTGATGAGGTAGTAATGATCCTATTCAAAAGTTATTGGTTTCTACACACTAAACAGTAGCTCCTGTGCAGCTTCATGACACATTTTTTGATATTATCTCATTCATTACACCAGAAAATACATTTGAACAGTGCTTCAGGCTATTGATTATGTCAATTTAATTGGCTGATGTCCAAAAAAGATGAGTGAAAGGTGTTGCAAAGTTTTAGTGCATGCTGAAAGTCTCAAGCACACCCACAACATGTATAACTTAATTTCAAACAGTACAGGAGGGTCTTATGAATGTTGTTGCAAGCTCTTTATGAGGATTAATGCTGTTCTTTGCTCGTTAAGGCACTATAACTTTTATTAAAACATGGAGAAATGGAGGGAGTTGTTGAATTCCAACTTTAAGGGAACACCGGACCTCAACATTGTGATGGGAATTAAAAAAATGTGTTTAAATCAATGTTCTATTTTATGAACTTTGAGTCCTTATGGTTTAGGCTACCCTGTTAGATACAACTTAATTACTAGGAAGTCCCCTGTTCGCTGGTCTTGAAAGAAGGGAGGAAGGGAAGGTATTGGAAACATCTAAACCGTTTGAAAATGCCGTTGCAGTAAGGGATATCGTAGCATGATGCGTCACAAAAGTTTGTGTTTCCCTGTTGGGCCTTGTCCTGCCAGCTTTTTATACCTCGCTCTTTTTCAGTGCCTGAAAAGAAAAAAGCAACGTTTAGCTGATAGTAGTTTTATAGTTGGTTGATACTGTAAGGATATTGTCATACCTGGAATAGTGTTGTCCAAGATAAACCCAAAGAATCCTCCAATAAACATGTGGGTGGTGAAGAGCACAACAATCACTTGGTCCAGCTCTTTTATTCCTTTGAACAGAGAAGAGAGCAAAGGAAATGGCTTGTGTTACCCAACAATAAATAGCTTGTAAAATAACAACCATAAATCTCGTGGGCAGGTTCCCTTTGTTCTGGGATGATCTTAAACCTGACCCCTGTCCTCCTCCACACAGAGGTCAGAGGTCAGGTTTGAGTTTAGTCTACTTAAACCAAAAGAAAACAAATGTCCTCAAACTCACAGCTACAGGGGTCTGACAGTAAATCCTGTAGTACGGGATAAAAGCTAATCCACACAGAGTCGAGTGATACATCTGTTGGATGGATCTCAAAACTGCTTTCTGGATTTCCTGACCAGACTTTGAATTGTAATTCCTTTCACATGTCAAGAAATGGCATTGTCATCATCAGTAGTATATAAGGATCAGAATGAGAAACAGGTTTATTACCAGGTAGATTGAAACGTACGAGGAATTTGATTTGGTGTTGTGGTGCATACATAAAAGTAAAAAATAAATAAAAAAACAGATAGAAAACTATTTGTAGATAACTATAATAACATTAAAACATATTTCAAAAAAGCTACAATACTTGTTGTATAACCTGAATCAAAAAGATAAAATATTGAATTGTTGAAGCTTGAAGGTGGGGTAGGTAATTTTGGAGAAACCAGCTCGAGTGCGCAAGAATTTGAAAATACACAGCTGGAAAAAATCTGCGACTTCCTTACAGAGCCCCTCCTCCAACACACACGAACGCGCACATGACCAATGAGGGCACGAGATAAGCTTGTGCACAGATGGAAGGCTGACAGGCAGGTAGGCCATCCAGTTATTTTAGCCGGGCCGGCTCAGATGATTGGTCGTGCTTTTTACAGTACTACGGCTTCCACAGATGACCTTTTTTTATGGAATTTTTGTCAAAGCACTTAAGATATTCATTGCTATCAGGATGTTAAGAGCATTCCATGGAATATAACAAAAAGTGTATCTCGAGCCGGTTTCTCAAACTTACCTACCCCACCTTTAACCTGTTAAGCACCAAGCCTGTTTTTCATGTTTCAGGCTCGAAAATGACATGCCCAAAACAAATGACTACAACTTAACTTCTAAAAGGGTTACATGAATAATTTCTTTTATCAAAGCAAGGTTACATCTGTGAGTTGGATGTAGAAGTGTCAGAATCAATATAGATGTTTTTTATTTTAAAGAAAATTCAGATTTTACATAGTAAAAAACTGTAAATGATAGTGTCCGTCCAAAAATTATTTTTTACTTATAGTGAAAACTACCCTTGGATGATGGGTTAGTAGACTAAAAGCTTTAGGAATCCAAGGTACAACATATAATAAGTACCCTGTATTAAGATTGATGCAAGTGACATTTGACCTTTTTAGAGAGGTTTAGCCAAAACCACTCCACCTCTGAGGTGAAAATGGGTTTCTTTCCATATCTCTGGCCCCCCTTGGTCGATTTGGATGGTTGACACCTCTTTCTGACCGTTAGAGCCAATAGAATCGAACACACACACACACACTCGTTGTGAAAACAAACGGTGGGGGCTTCCCGCATGCAGGTTTGCACCAGAGTGAAGCGATCTCTCGCTCTGACATTTGGAAACGAAAAAGCAGTTTTATTGCTTATAGATTATCAGAAATCATTTCAAAGAGGACACAGACACATTGGATTAACCCATGGATTAACTGCAGCATTGTTTTTTTATCGTTTTAATGCCATTGAAGACCAGTTTTGACCAAGGTAAGCCATGTTAGCGTTTCTAGCTACCTAGCTCCACATGTTCTGATGTACGCTTTCGTTTATAGCGTCGCAAATGTTTATCACTGAGTGTTGAGGTGGGCACCAAACGATTCTGTGTCTCCAGGAGATGCTAATCGAGGGGTTGGCTGTGCATCTAGGATAAGGAATAAGGGAGTTATGAGTGAGTTTAGGTGCAGTGATAGGTTACATTTTTTTCGCTCGTGGCTAGTGGCGAGTGTTAGCATTGTGGGTTTTTTTTGGAAAAAAAAATTAAAAAGATCAGTTAGCTGAGTTTCTTCCCGTTACATGGATATAAAACATTCATACTTTATTAAATATTAAGATTCCTTAGACATTGTTTGCTGCAAATGACGCGTTTATCCGCCCGGTACCGGGGGGGGCGGTGCGTAACAGGTTAAGTGCAATCAGTAATCGGAAATGTATAGGAATATTAAGGATCAGTTTACCCAATTAAAATAATACTGTAAATACATTCTATTTGACCAGGAAGATTTGGTGTTTTGTTGCGATATTAAGTCTTACTAACATGGGGTCCTTTAATCTGTTTAATATGATGTGTTATACCCGAGAGGATCCAAATATACCCAGCTGTGATCAAAGGCCTTTGTCAACCGTATCTGTGACAGCAAGTGTTCAGTGAGTGTTTAGGTTAAGTAACGAGTGGATTAGCATGCTGTTTCAATTAGCATCAAGTATATTCAAGTATTAGACGCGTTCTTTTAGGGTCTTGTACATTGCCGGGTCTTTTGGGGTTAAGGGACCAAGTTTTGGACACCCACTACTCTATCTCTGAAATAGGATAGAGGAGGCAAAAAAGCCCCCTGATTTATGAGTATAAAACCAGGTCATCGGTCACAAATCATAGACTGGATTTGTTAACAATGATGGAACAATCTGATGGTAATTCGTCATTTTGACATATAACAACACTGAGGGCAATCGACCAGAAGTCATTCACAGTCATTGGAGGGTTACAGGCTCTTGAGCCGATCTGCTTACTATCCTCTCTGGGAGGTGGAGCAAGTTTCCTTTCCCTGGGACATAAGTTACCAACTTAAAATTATCGGCTAAAGTGATGATCGTTTGCCAGTCATCAGTGATTGCTTAGACCAGGGGTCTGAAACCTTTTTGACCAAAAGAGCCATTTTGCCCCCTTGTTACATCATAGACAAAAACTACAGTTTTTTTGCATTCATTATTTATTACATTATAGAAAACTGTTTACCTCTAATAATAAACAAAGAACTCTTATAAGGAGAATTCAAAAAAATACACAGGCCTACTTTAAAATAAATCAACAAAGCACTTGGGGAGTCCTCTGCTCATTTGAAGAAAATGAATATAATACAAATGGGCCCACTTTGAAATAAATAAAACATATAGCTGCACCCTAAAAAGAGTTAACTGGTTGAATTATGACTGAAGATCGTCAGCTGTCTTCCTCTTCCGTGTTTTTCCTCCAATACGTAAAGGCTGCAGCACCTTTGAGAACTTCTCTCCACATATCAAACATACCGGTAAGCCAGCATCGTTTGCTGTGAAAGCATATAACTGTCCATGCAGAATCAAACCCTCTGTGTTCCTCCGATACTTTTCATTTCTTTGATTTATCCATAGTTCGCTCATCGAGCCGGGGGTCAGGTGATTCACCTGCAAGAAAAGGCGCTGGTGCGGGACCGTACGTTTTTTTTTTGTATTTATGTGTCACAGTATCACCTCAAAATACAAGATACGAAACATTTTACATTTTAATTGTATTTCCTTCGTATTTTTGTCTAAGTGGCCAGAGTGGAGGGCTTAAAGAGACAGTGGCGTTTTTATATGTACAAAAGTGGTGGGGCACAAAAAACTTAGATGTCTATATATAAGCTTCTGCAGTGACGTGCAGTGAGGTTCATGGCTGGTGAGGCACTGGCACTGACTCTTCAGGTTTACAAATATTATATTTTGACCTAAACCAAAATATAATATTATTTTCAAAAGCTTTTTTTGTCTGATGCTTCGATTAATTTTAAACAGGCAGTTCAACAAAAGGATACCCAAAAAATGTCATTTTATCATTTAAATATTGAATTGTTCTCTCTTAGTAAGATCCCATTTTCAATAAAATGGCGGTCTTACCTTGACTTGAAGATGAAGTCCATTTGCCTATCCTTCTGGACAAACATTTCTGTTACTTTTTTGTAAAAGTCCTCCTTATGTTCTTGTAGTTTCAAAAGTCTATCATAAATCTAATCCATAGATTTATGATAAAAAAATTATAAAAGTAGGGTAGACATGTGGATGTTATCCGGCTGAACAAAACGTGCATTTATCTAACAGGTACGTTTCCCACAGATCTTATTTCGAGCTATTTTCTAAAATCCTATGGAGAAACCTCATTGCTTTTTTGTCGAGGGAAGCCAAGCGCAGCTTACTTCCTGGTTTTAGGACGCGTCACTGCAGCTCTCTCATCTCCTCTTCACACACCACACTTTTCGCGGCACACGTACTTACAGCCAATCAGCTCTGAATGATTTGAGATGACGTATGGTGGGGATGGTAGCTCCATGCCCCTCTGGTCATTATTTTTTTGCCACACACATTTCATTACAAAATACTCTGAGCATGCGCAGTGAAGTTTTTACAGTCACCGTTGACTTCACAGCGAGAGGAAGGGGCATAATCAGGTTTTGTCCCACATGGCTCTAAACAGCTCAATAGGCACACACTGTGACTGTAGACACACTAATTAGAAGAACACAGACTAAAACAGCAATGTACAGACGAATCAGATGATTAAACATGATCTTAAAATATATTTTATATATTTTTTTTTTTTTTTTTTTTGCATTTTTGTAATCATTATTTGTAATACTTTCTGCTGACACTAGGTGGGGCTGTGCCCCACCTGCCCCTAATGACCAGTCGCCACTGTAAAGAGCCACAGCGAAACCTAGCCCAAAACACACACACACCCGCAGCCTGGCTGGGAGTTTGTGTGTGTGCTTAGGCTGAGTTCCGCGGTGTCTCGCTGTGTCACCGACCCCACACCAGTGTCCCGCTCCTCGCAGCAGCGAGCCTTGCAACGTCCCGCCGAGTGTGTGTGAGGAAGTCCGCGGATTGGTCCAAACGTAACGGCTCTGCGGATGTAACGTAACGGCTCCGCGGATTGGTCCATTTTGACCAATCTGCGGAGCCGTTACGTTACGTCACAATACCCGAAATACGTCACTATACCCAGAAATCTCCAACGAGGCGTTCTGGGGCAGCATAGACAGGTCTTTTCTGTGTTAGAGTTTTACTCGCTACAGGGTGTACTTTGAGGGTTTGTGACTCTGCAGACCGTTTACATGCATAAAATAGAATAGAATTGGGTGGGATGAAACCCTCTTTTAATGGTCACACATGCAGAGCACACAGCACACACAGTGACATGTGTTCCCTGCTTTTAACCCATCCTAGTACTAGGAGCAGTGGGCAGCTATTGTACAGCGCCCGGGGAGCAATGGGAGTGAGGGGGGAAGGGGGGTGTCCGGTGCCTTGCTGAAGGGCACCACGGCAGGGCAGGAGGTGAACTGGGACCTCTCCAAGTAGCAGTCCACACTCCTCATTTTAGGTCTGGTCGGGGACTTGAACCGGTGACCTTACAGCTCCCAGTCCAATCCCCTACTGACTGAGCCACTGCCAGACTACATAACACACAAGGGGATGGGTAATAACCAGAAAAGCATGACATGGGACCTTTAAGTTTATATAGCTTTGCCTTTGATTGGTTTCATTGCCTCCATCACAAGAGCTGCATGTTTCTCACCAACCGTAGCGTAACACAAATAACTTTTACATCTCCATTCGTCCAGCAGCTTATCATTATTACAGAACTGATCCAATTAAGTACCGGTACCAAGTTAGTACTGTTTCTTTATTCCTATCCAAATTGCACAGTACGTCTATGTTCATCTTTTCTCTCCATGCCCTTATATACAGTATGCATAAATATAAGATTGTTCTGTATATTAATTATTTAATGACAATGATTAAATGACAGATAAGGAGAAAGTCTAACCCCTGTAGCAGATGTAGAATAGATGTCCATGTATCTGATATATAAAGGTCTCTTGCGGGCTAATTCTCTGTAATCACTACAGCCTGCTCCAATATCCTGAGTTGGCCCATCTTGTGGTAACATGTGTTTTATGTGTTAACTGCCTAATGACGTTTTGTAAAATAGAAATATTGAATCAAGGATGGCAAAGAGCGCTCACGTAGTCCATCCAAACATGTGCAGGAACACACACACTTCCTGCCCAAAGAGGAGCAGTCAAGAGTTCAAGGCACCCACTGAGATGGTTTTAAATCTCTCAGCCTGTAGATCTAAAGGCGTCTCGAAGAAAATCAGTGTTTACAGAGACAGCCTCCTCTTGTGTGGCGCTATCAGAGGAGTGTTGAGGCTGGGGAGAACTTTATCTGAGCCTGGCAGTGACATGGGGGTTAGCCAAGAGGATTTGGAGGTAAGTAGCCTAGACGTAAAATAACCAGACAACCCTCATGCCCAGTGTCCTACTCTGGATTAGCTCTTTTCTTAGGAGACACTTGACTCATGGGATCATGGTCTTATGTCAGCAGAGAGTGGACCTGTTTAATCTTAGGGATTGTTCTTTTGATAGCACTTCATAGGAGGTGGCCACAGAGACGCTCTGAGACCCATCAATGCGTAATGAAAGGCAGGGAGTCATCAGCTGAGAGCCTGGGATCGATTTCTGATTGGATGTAAAACATCTGATTGTTCAGTCTTGTACTTGTAAAAGTCATCTGATTTCGTTGGAAACAACGTTTCATGGCTCGATTAGAGTAATTGGATTCTGTTGTGTCAAAATGTGTTACGTGTAAGAATGTGTGTATGTTTTACAGTAAAGTAATGTAAAGTGGAAAGTGCCCAAAAATATATTTTTTGTATTGGCATAATCCAGCTTGAAACCTGAGTTTAATTTGGATTAAACCTGGGTTTGAATATGTTATAAATTGCTCCAACCTTTTTTAAGAACTACCAGGTTAAAAAATGGATTAATAAAGTAATAATTGGAAGGTTTTACAATAATTTAAAGTGAAAAACAAAATGTATTTTCAAATAGTTTTTCATGAACATTATTATTTGTAAAATTAACAATTATTTGTAAAATTGACTTTTATTAATTACTTATTGTCAACTACAATTAACTCCTTTTGGTTGTATGTGTCTGCCAGCAAGTCAAGTTGTAGTAAGATCCATGTCTGTCCAAAATGCCGTCACTTCATAATTTATTACTTTTATTATAGTTCATTGTTAAGTCCAAGAGGAAGTTGGTGCCAGAAATACCCTCATGGCAATCAGGAGATAAAGCATTCACAAGAATTGGATAAAGGACAGGATGAATGGACCTCGACCTTTGACCATTTTACTTTGTCAATCCATGAGTAATTTGAAGAAATACTGTCTCGCTCTCCATGACATATTGCGTTCACTAGAATAGGACAAATTGACAGTCAACCAAAAAAGGTGTAGATGACAATGCTATAATTGTAAAAATTGACATTAGGCAGGTAGATTTTTGACTATTAAAGTATAATTTAACCCTGCAGGAGTTTTTTCAAGAATGAGTTTCCCCTTTTTGTAATCACCAACAATCTGTACACGCCTAGTGCAGTAGAAGAAGATCCCCAGGTGGCTAATCATGAATAATCAAGGCAATCCTCTTTGAATTGCTCTGACCCTCAAAAATCACTGTAAATGTCCGTGCTGCTGGACGAATAAAGGATCTCTGATTAAAACGTTTTTTTTTGACAATACCTTGATTATTTAATGAATGAACCCTTCAGCCTTAAACGCCAAGCAATAACATGCAAAACTAATATGTGAATGTGTATAAAATCAATATCAAGAGAAAAAGAAGGGTTAAAGGTTCAGTTTTAAGCGTTTATTTAGGTCTTTACTTTCTACCCACCCGTATCACAGGCATACAAACCACCTACAATGTCTATCCCTGGTGTGCATTTGAGTTCAATGAAACGATAACAAACGCAGGGTTAAGGATTAGATAAGACAATTAAAATATTCTCTTGCCAAAAACTAAAGGTCACCAGGTGTATGCCATCTGGGCCGTTAGGATTTGGAAAGACCTTAGCGTCAGAAGCTTATGCTTGCAGAACCACTGCCTCCTCCTCCTGGGTAATCTGTTGGAGGAGCAGTGGGTACTCTCTGTCAGAGGTCCACATCGCTCCTCTGATGAGGATTTAGGGCTGGGAAGTGACAATTTCTGCTGATTCAAAAATGTTGGCAAAAATAATCTATATATGTTCAGATTTTTTTATTTAATCTTAAAGTCTGTTCCTATTTTAAAGCGCTTAGAAAGTAAGGACATATACTATTCCTTTGTGTATGTGTTTGTGTTAAGGCCCGGACACACCAAGCTGACACCAAAGAACTGACACAGACGGACCCCCGACTGTTGTGTCGCCTCTCGTCTCTGCGTCTTGGCCATGTGTCGCACTGGAACACACCGCAAAGACTTCAGCCGACGGCCAAGAAGCACGTACGAACTGTGCATGCGTGAGTGGCAATAACTCTCCTTACCAGCAGGCGGCGGTAGTGTGTATTCGTCATTCAAAAGAGGCAACAACCGGAAGACAGACTGCGTGATACACCGAGAGAAGAAGAACAGACTGCGTGATATAAACAAACAACAAATAGCGTGTGTGTTCCATTTTCACTCTACAGCGAGAAGCTCATGGGGCTTAATGAGTTAAATGAAATGTCAGATTTGCCTTCTTAATAGTTTGTTTGGGTCCCTCACTTCCGTTTCGCTTCTCATGCACTGATTCGCTAGCTGAACAACCAATCAGAGTGATTTCTTTTGCCGACAACCTTTGGCCGAAAAGGTGTCGGCACGGCTGAAAAGACACAACGGTGCGGGACACACCAATCTGAGCAGGGCGTGCCGACGCCCATCGACGGCCAAAATCGGCTTGGTGTGTCCGGGCCTTATGAATGATCGTCACCAAATGTTTTACTATAAAAAAAAACACAATAAAAAAAAAGAGAAACAAGTATGGAAATCTAAGTAAGTGTAGGCACACACATTACGGTTGTTTGGCCCATTATGAATATTATTTAGGCATCACAACTAACCTGATTGGGATTTTGACAGGTAAAGTAATACATATAATTCTACCTACCCCCAAATGCCTTTTACTCAGTCATTACATTTTGCTCCTATGTTACTGTCCACCAACTGTTGGCGGAAATAATCAATATATGTTCAGATTTGTAAATGTTAAAAGAGCTTTTCCCCTTTGAAAGAGCTTAGAATGTAAGGATACATATACTATTCCTTTGTGTATGTGTCCTAGTGAATGTAAGTCTGAAAATCACCTGTGTCAATGATTGCCAATTTCTGCTGATTCTAACTTTGGTTTTCACAAGACAGTAATACCAATGATGCTGTGGGTGGGTTTAAACAAAAGGTGCTATCTTCTCAGTTATTTATAAGATTTAGATGTAAATACCTGGAATTAAAAGCTGAAATACTGACCTTTTGTCTCATATTCATCTTTTGATGTCAAACCTAATTGTTTTCCGTGTACAGCAAAAATAAAGCAATTGGCCTTGCTGTTCCATGTTGGAGGGGACTGTACTATTCCTTTGTGTAAGTGTATTAGTGAATGTATGTCTGAAAATCACCTGTGTCAATGATGCCGGGGTTGGAGTGAAACCAGGTTGGTAGAACCAGGCCGCTGAAGGTGGAGAAGCCGAGGATGAGGAGGTTACGAGACGAGTTGAGGTCCACGTACTGGAGAGGAAGAGGCACAGAGAGAGAGAGAGTCTTTATTTGGTTTTTCTAGGCCTGCTGGCGGCCATCTCTGTTTTGTAACTTTACTAAAATGTGATTAGAAATAATTAGAAACCTCGATAAAGGAATGATTTGTATTTCGGTCCAGGACTGAGATTTATTTGGTCTCATGATAGGAGAACTGAGGCCATCCTAGATCAACCCTGTCTATTAAAGTGCTCCTTATTAACTCAAATATAAAGAAGCAACCTTTATTCAGTTCTAATACACAGATTAACCGGGGGGGTTGTCACAGATTTGGCTATTTCACATATTTTTATAATGTAATTTGACTAATAAAGAGCACCAACAATACCTCATTACTGCACTGCTCTATTGAAAACAACTATTTTGTGTATACATAATACTATACCTCCCATACGTTGTAATACCTATCATGAAGACTCAATGGAGCTTCAATTCAAAGCAAACTAAATAATCATAGGACCATACAATCGTATCCTGTTACTGGGAAAAAACACATAATGGTAAAAAAAATACACTGCCTGGGTGGGACGTTGGCTCTCTAGACGTATGATTCAGTATTACAATCTTACAAAGTACATACAGAATATTTCTGTGTTTTGATTTTCGTATCCTGGCATAGCATACTCCCTCGATTCCTCTTTGCCTGGAATATAAAGAACCCCCCACTGAAATACTCTAAGTTTTTACTAGTGGTCTTAAAAGGAGCCGTTTGAGACATTTCAACAAAAAAGGCCAACAGTTACATTCTGTAGCCAGAAAGCTCATAGAAAGGGCTGAGATAGTGGGTCCGATTTAGCATTGTAATATCTTATGCTTTCATCGAATGTTTCTGTCAGACTTCTGCTCCAAATTACTTCTCAGTGTGTGAGCTGGGAAAGCATGGGAGGGCTGACGCTGTGGTATTTATTTAGTAATATATAATGTCAATAAAATGTTTTGTCGAAGGTCAATATATCCCTTTTTTATTTATCTGTACGAGAAAAGTAGGAAATCCTGTAAACGTTTTTTGCCAGGAAAATGTCCTCAATTTTAATGCTTCTTTTAAATTGTCGACCAAAACCGGATTTGACCTTTTACGCAATATAGCGAAGACCTCGACTGAGCCATCATGATGCTAAAAAGTTTGTTTTTGTTCTTCTTGACTACTGTACCACTGTTGCCTACCAGCAGCCATTGCAAAGCTACGGACCAATCACAATGCTGCTGCTAGGGTTTAGACAATAAATTAAATTGGAGATCATATAACTCTCGTTTTACACAAACTAAAGTGGCTCCCTGTACCGCTTTGAAAGGTTTAAAGTCTTTCTCTTATTTTTAAGGTAGTTAATGGCTTTTTCCTATTTTTATATCACAGGTTCCCTATTGTTTTATGAACCTTGAGGAATCCCAAGATATTTCACAGCTGCTCTTTTAACGATTCCCTAAGTTACAACAAAAAACGTTGGGGTTGCTACTTAGACCCGTAACGCCCCCTGAAAAATATAGAACACTTGGCCTTTTGATTGAAGACTTGCTGACTAAACCCTAACCCTAACCCTAACCCTAAGTGGACAGATTTTGTCTGATTTTCATTTTTTAAGATTAAAGATAAGATAAAATGTACTTTATTAATCCCAATTTGGGAAATGTTTTCGTTGCAGTAGCATAAAACAAAACAAGGCATTGCACATAATAACAAATTAAAAGATGAGAAATAAACAATTCTAAAATATGAGTATCTCAAAATAGAAATAGAAATAAACCAGCATTAGAGAGTAAAAAAATATATATACAGATGACCGGGAAGATAAAAAATCTATAAATTGTCTCACAAATAAAAACACTAGAAAACCTATTTTTATTCTTGTGCATGTGAACGGCTTTTACATTGATTTTTGGTGGGGTTTTTTGTTTGTTGCTGAACTGTAAAGTGATTTGAGTTCACATTAATTTATCTATCCATTTCCTGAACTAATATCCAAAGTAAATCCCTTCTTCTTCTGATGTTAACAATGTAAAATATATATTTCGGTTGTTTTAACGGGCAACAGTGCACCAGCACTCCTGATTTAAAAACATTGCTATTTAAGGCTAGGAAACAGGATCACAGCTGACCTGAGCTCACTGTTGATTGGACAGTTTCCTAACTACACTACCAACAAAAAGTGTATGACCCGACCTTTGGTCTCAATTTTGAATAGTCATAGTCTTGTTTTTTTCCACTGTCTTTACTATAATATGTTTCTGTTTTAAAGGAGATTTGATTTGTTCATTTGCAAACTTTTAATGTTTCTTTATGTATGTTATAAATCACTTTAAGCTACCAAATTAAAGAATATATTTTTTTAATTGATCCATATAGAAATCTTATGTTTTTTCTTAGATTTTAAAAGTCAACGGACCAGAGTGGCACACCTAGAAGCAGCTGGACTCAGTATTCAGTTCATGGGCCTCTTAGCAGGGTGGATGGGTATTGTGTCTCAGAGTCTTCATTTCCCAAGGAAGGCTGGCGTCTGAGGGATGTTTTGGATGAAGTGTCCACCAAAAAACATTTGATACTGTATGTTACAATATTGAAATGTGTTTACCTGGAGGTTAGATATCCCCACTGCTGCGATCATTCCAAACATAACGAGGAACATTCCTCCAATGACTGGGTCTGGTATGGTGATAAAAACTGCTCCAAATTTCCCAAAGATCCCCAGGACGATCATCAGAAGTCCGGTTGTCTGGAGGACCAGTCTGCTGCCAACCTGGCAAAAAACAAGCACATTGACTGGTTATCGTATACATGCCAGCCATATTCTTACCAAGACTGTGCAATCAAAAAATAACTTTTGAAAAGCATACACATGTCTTAAAAAAGGATACACTCAATCTCATCAAGAAATGTTTTGAGTTGGACGTAGATCTGCGACCAGAGAGGAAACGGCGTCAGAAAAAGAATGCTCAGGTCAAGCCATAAAACATTGAGCTGTGGCTAACGCTTTTATCTGTGCTGTGCTGCTCAAAGACCAGCTGTTCTTTTAGACAAGCTCGGGTACATCAAACTGACACACCATAGCTCAGAGCTATATACTTTTGACCTACCATTCTAGTGAAATACTCCATGAAAGTGAAACGTAATACATGTCAAGTCTCTTAATGTCAGTGTTTGCCAAGAGAATACTGCATTCGGGCATCTTTATAGATTGTGTGTGAGGCTTTTAATCCCAACATAGTTTTTCCACAGTTGGTTAATATTATACATTTTTTAGTTTGGGCAATTTTCAATGTAAAAGATGATGATGTTTTTTGAATTAATAATATATATTGGCGGTTTTGCAAAAAAATAGAGGAATAGGACAACCAGAACAAGGCCACATGCCAAGAAAAGCAGAAAGCCTTACTAAACTTTAAATTGATGGAGTGTCTCCTCAGTTATATGACCATCATTTAAAGTGTCGATCTGGTCCGCAGCTCAGTCAGCGAGACTCAAACAACTGTAGCCCTCAATAAATAAATCTTCAACATTATGGGCTTACCTATAACACCACAATCAAAAGGTCAAACTGAGCTCCCAGGGGGGTCGTCTGGTCCCTTTCCACACCCACACTGAGCTTTAAAACTGGACATGGCAGCTTTGGGGTAATAAGCAAGAGTAAGCTTTAATAACGTTTGTGTACCTTGGTAATGCCGAGTGCAGCGATGTTCTGGCTGTAGGACGTGGTCCCGTTTCCTGTTCCCCAAAGAGCAGCCAGGACGCAGCCGATGCCCTCTACTGCGATTCCTCGGTTTATGGCGTGAGTTGGGGGAGGAGGAGCGCCAGACAAGCGTGCACAAGCATAGTAGTCCCCGATCGATTCCATGGTGGACGCCAAGACGCCCGCCATCATACCCAACACTGAAGACACACTAAATGTGGGCATACCCCATTGACCTGTGTGTTCAGAGAAGGCATAATTAGTTTCCATTCATTTAGATGCAGATCACATCTCTAAGACCTACATTCTGCCAAAATCCTTTCAGAATCATAAACAGAAAAAGGTTTATTAACAGGTAGGTTGACACGTACGAGGAATTTCACTTGGTGTTGTGGTGCATATTATATTTGATTGTATTTACTTGCACAATTTTATCTGTTTTATTATGTTGCACTGCTGGAGGAGCCTATGACCTAATTGTTTTTCATTTTCATAACTACACTGTAGCTATGTACAAATGACAATAAAAGCCTTAAATCCTTGAATTAATACACAAAAGTTAAAAAAAAATTAAAAACCCAGATAGAACACTATTTTAAGAAAACTATAGTAACAATAAAAAATATAGTAGAATATAGAAGTATTTCCATTGAAATAGAATGTAATAAAATATGTGCAGTAATACAAAAACAAGATAGATAGATAGAATCGGAGGGATGAACCCCTCTGTAATGGTCACACATGCAGAGCACAGAGCACACACAGTGAAATGTGTTCTCTGCATTTAACCCATCCTAGTACCAGGAGTCTAGTACTAGGAGCAGTGGGCAGCTATTGTACAGCGCCCGGGGAGCAATGGGAGTGAGGGGGGAAGGGGGATGTCCGGTGCCTTGCTCAAGGGCACCACGGCAGGGCAGAAGGTGAACTGGGACCTCTCCAAGTAGCAGTCCACACTCTGGTCGGAGACTTGAACCAGCGACCCTACGGCTCACAGTCCAAGCCCCTACTGACTGAGCCACTGCCGGACTGTGTGTACATTGTGTGCATTAACGTAATGCATAGAGTCTATGATGTAAATATGTTTTGAGGTTTTGTCTGGGTGACATATCAACTGAATGTTCTCTACCTGGTTTTAAAGGATTGTCTAGCAGACTGCTACCATATGATCTTAAAGGTCAAGAAACATTATGTTGAAAGATAAAACAATCTTACTAAACCCATTGAGGATTTATAGACAAGAAGCAGTGCAAAACGTCTGCGAGACCAAAGGTCAACAAGACGCCATGTCGACTTAACTCAATCTGGTACACAAACATCTTGATCCAAATATCATTCTAAGATTGTATTTCCTTACATTATTCAATTTAACTGCCTGACCTTTGAAGTCTTGTGGACTTTAGAGTTCCTGATACAATTCAATTCAATATCTTTATTAGCATGACCATAATTACATAAAGTATTGCTAAAGCTCTGTATAGTTACAACATACACACACAAACACTTACATATAAACAAGCTGCTACATGTTTAACATAAGCAAGAACATGTTTTGTTTTTTTATACAGATATCTCAAAAAGTGGATGCAGCTTTTTTTGAACCTGTTATAACTAATAGGGGTTCTCTTTTTCTTACAACTACTGTATGTACAAATCTGATTTAAATTAAGCTCATCGAAGTTCAATCAGGAAGACTACCTTAAGGTTTATTCAATCTCATGTCTTACTCCATCCTCCATTACTGGCATCCACTCTTTTAGATACTATGCAGATTTATCCCATTAATGGCATGAATACAGAACTTTTTAAAGGCATGTCAAGAACATGCTCGCACATTATTTGTGCCAAGAAACCTATTCATAAAAAAACAGGGTTTATATTCATAAAAAACGTCATAAAATACCACTGAGCATCATTTGCATACATATCATTAGATGGTAATTTTGATAATAATTTAACAGCCACCTCAGTTATTAATGCCTGCATTGAAAATACTATAGGTTTGTGTTGTGTTTTATTCAGTTGTTGCTTTTGAAATTATCCGTTACACTATTTTATGCTTACGTAATATAATGTCCTGCCAAAAACATTATGTACAGAGATTTTTAACAGCGACATGTTGAGCCAAATGTTTCATCATTGGCACAGTTGTTCGTGTTATTATATTCGACTGTTTTGCCACATGGAAATAATCATAAAGTATTTTTCCCATTTACATTTATGAATATGGAAACTGACACCAAAATGAACCTGAAGGTTGTTTCTGAACACCCTAAATCTATTTATTGATTCTGAAGGACACATGCATTTAATATTTGGCAGAACAAAGAAGATTCTAGTGAAATATAAACTATTTGCATCACCGTTATAAGAGAAAACCATGAACTGCTAAATGATCAGGTTTGAAAATCAGTCCAAAAGTTGTAGAATTTTATTATGGCAGCAAATGTTCCAAGAAACTAAGGAACACATGCTCCACATGGAAATCCTGCTTGAGTTGTTGCCAATGCAGCTTGAAGTTATAGCCAAGACTGTCAGGATGCTTCTTTACCCATTGTGGTTGTGTAAAACTTTCATTTAATAAGGAATAATCATTATTCCATGTTGTACAATATATTAGCAGGAGATCACTTATAAAGAACTGTTTTGTGTTCTTGATAACTATGGACTGACTCAGCATGTGACGGAGCCCACGCACAATAAGGGGCACACTCTGGGGCACACTCTGGACTTAATTATCTCAAAGGGTCTGAATATCTCAAAGGTTGTGGTGACTGATGTTGCACTCTCTGGTCATTCCTGTGTTTTCTTTGAGAGCTCTATTTCTGTTCACAAAAATGTTCAGAAAGAGGTAACCACAAAGCGATATTTAACTGAAAATACTAGGGAAATGTTTACTCATAATTTTTCATCCACACTTGCCCCTGCTAACATCTCAGTAAATGAGCTAGTAGATCATTTTAATTCAAAAATTAAAAATGTTATAGATACCATTGCTCCAACTAAGTTAAAGGAAGTGATTGGCAAGAAAATATCTCCATGGAGAAAGGCCATGACCGTGAGAACAGAAAAAAGAGAGTGTCGAAAAGCTGAACGCAGGTGGCGAAAAACAAATCTCCAGGTTCACTTTGAAATCTATAAAGAGAGACTTGGCCTTTATAATTTGGAATTGAAAAACGCACGACAGTCTTTCTTCTCTGACATCATTACCAAAAACAAAAACAACGCACGTGCCTTGTTTGCTACCGTCGACAGACTAACAAACCCCCCAGTGTCAGTAGCCTCTGAATTTCTATCCACCAGGGCATGCAATGATTTTGCCTCCTTCTTCACTGACAAAATTCAGAAAATTAGACAAGCAGTCAGTGCCTCTGCATCAGGTACAGCAAATGTGTTGTCCCTATGTCCACCTAATATCAATTCAAACACCATGACACAATTCCATCAGATTAATGATAAAAACCTAGAGGACATTATTCAACTTCTGAAATCCTCCTCCTGCTGCCTTGATATTATTCCAATAGGATTTTTCAAAGATGTTTTTCATTGCATGGCCTCAGATCTACTTCATATAGTAAACACATCTCTTCACTCAGGTATTTTTCCACAGGCCCTGAAAACTGCAGTCATTAAACCGCTCTTAAAAAAGAATAATCTAGATGCTTCAGTAATGAACAATTTCTAGGTAAAATCATTGAAAAAGTTGTATTTCAACAGTTGAGTAACTTCTTGCATTTAAATAACTGTTTGGATGTGTTCCAGTCAGGCTTTCGTCCAAACCACAGCACTGAGACTGCTCTTGTAAAGGTCTTCAATGACATCCACTTAAAGCTCCCATGTCATGCTTTTCCGGTTATTACCCGTCCCCTTGTGTGTTATGAAGGTTTTTATGCATGTAAACGGTGTGCAGAGTCAAAACCCTCAAAGTACACCCTGTAGCGAGTAAAACTCTAACACAGAAAATACCTCCCCAAAACGCCTCGTTGGAGATACGTCACTGCCCATTTGAGTCTTCCATTTAGTTCCGGGTACGGCCTGATGTCATGCGGTACCCGGAACGAAATGGACCAATCCCGAAGAGCTATGGCCACACCCAGCGGCCGCACCCTCTGCCAGCCTAACATTTACTGTTGGAAGCTCTGGTTCAGTTCACAATCGATCCAGTCATGCCACTGCCAAGGACCTGTTTCCTAAAATGTGAGGAGAAATCTGAGCTGTTTGTCCTACCGACGGAAGAACCACGACGAAGTCAGTGGTTGAAATTTCTTTTTAACACTGTTCCTCCAGAGGTTCGAAGAACCGGCATTTCACAGACGAAAGCTTCCAAAACATTGCCCAGTTTGAGGCCGGATATGCACAGCTTGTTTGGACCGTTTGGAGCAGGGGAAGATTCGGGTACACAACCTGTAAGTTTGCATTGTTATCTGTGTATTTATCAAACAAGGTATCTACCACGACTGTTTAAATGTGTAAACATGTTTCGGACTGCTAAGCCAGTGCTAACTGTGCTAACTAAGTTGCTAGCGTTTCCATATATCAACTCCAATATTAGCAGATCGCCTTACATACATGTTCCTCATAGCTGGATAATGTCTGCATTCACACACGAAATAGTCATAGACCGTATACTCCTGGTGATTTACCGTACGGTCAGTCGCGAAACGTAATTACATTATAGCTGGCGTAGCGTGTATGCTACCGATCTAACCGACGGAGCTAGACCTTAGTTTGGTCGGAAAAACATTTTTGTTATGCTTCGTTGCTTGCGTTTAAATATATCAACTACAATGTCAGCAGATGGCCTTACATGTTTGTCATGGCAGGAGAATGTCTGCAGTCACACACACGGAATACTCATACAGTATACTCCGGGTGATTTACCGTACATTGTGACAGTACATGTACATACTGCATGTAAAGCTAACGAGGCTAGCTGTATGCTAGCGCAAAACAATGTATTCATACAAGTTACAATGTATGACCGAACGTAGCAGAATACCCGTATAATATTGCAATTATAAACACGTTATTGCTAGCCTAATATGAACCACTAGCTTTTGTTCATAGTCGTTTTATTACACTCCATTATAGTTGCCGTTCCTCCAAGCTAACGTTCATATCGTGTTAGCTACCAAGGTAAACAAAGCTAGGTTAGCTCTCTTTGCCCGCTCACAGACCCCCAAAGGACGGCCTATAGACCTCCAAGAGGTCTCCCTGAAATGGGGACTTTATTTCACACTTCCAGCTGAGACAACGGGGAAATCCCCTCTCTTTGCCCGCTCACAGACCCCCAAAGGACGGTACATTACAGTTGGCTTTCCTCCGACGCTGAGAGCATGTATAGCTAACGAGGCTAGCTATACATGCTAGCGGGAAACATTGTATGACCGAACGTAGCAGACTACCCGTAGAATAATGCAATTATAAACACGTTATTGCTAGCCTAATATGAACCACTAACTTTTGTTCATAGTAGTTTTATTACACTCCATTATAGTTGCCGTTCCTCCAAGCTAACGTTCATATCGTGTTAGCTACCAAGGTAAACAAAGCTAGGTTAGCATATTAGCAGGCAAGCTGTTCATTAGATAGATCCACACTCCTACCACAACTACTACTAACGAATCTAAAACAACTAAGTTTCTCTAATATTTTGTGATTTGCATTTTATTTCGTCCAGCCAGATCCTGCCGGACAATACATGACTGGACGACCACACTGAGGCATCGTCTCAAAAAGCCCCGGCTGCTATAAGCAAGATGCCGACAACGGGGAGTAATTGACGATATACCGTGTATATATGTATATTTACGTTCATTTTGTACATTTCTAAAAATAAAGTTTAATGGAAATACTTAGTAGGCCTATCCTTTCTTCCCTGAATTATTTGCTCCTATAACATATCATTCATATATAGCAAACCATGATTTGATTTCTCATCAAACAGTAGTAGTTTATAACGGGTAAAAATAACTTACACTTTGTTATGACAGGCTCGTAGGCCACAACGGAAAGACAAGGAGACATACACGAGTTTACAAAACCACGGCACATTTATTGTGGTAAATGCAGAGATAGGTGGTCAGGGGAGAGGATCGCTGAGCTGCTTGGAGGGAGAGAGGGGCTGCCGTTTGACTCCGGGCAGCTGGCTAGCACCTCGGCTCCGGCCAGGTGTCCGTGATCGCGCTGATTAGCTTCTTCAGCTCCACCCCATCGTAAGACAAAGGCCCTGGAGCAGCCGTTTAGACATGGGCGCAGCCTCTCTGGTGGTTGACTAATCAGAACAGAGTGGCCGAGCTGACCAATCGGAGCACACTAGGCTCACAGGGAGGGGGGGGCAAGAGCTCCAACGAGTCGTTTAGTGGAGAGAGTGAATACTGCTGAATACACATGCTTGACAGAAATGCTGTATGCGAAACCAATGTGAGTTTGGAAAATTGCACTGTATAAATCTATTTTAGTATACCTCAACAATGTAATTATGATCAGTGGAAATGGCCATGACATGGGCCCTTTAAACACAGACAGTGGCAGAACTTCAGTGTTAGTATTATTAGATCTCAGTGCTGCGTTTGACACTGTTGACCACAACATATTACTAGACCGACTAGAAAACTGGGTGGGACTTTCGGAAACAGTTCTAAATTGGTTTGAGTCCTACTTAAAGGACAGAAAAAACTTTGTTTCTATAGGTAAATACACATCTGAGTTGACAAATATGACATGTGGGGTACCTCAAGGCTCCATCTTGGGGCCTCTTCTCTTTAACATCTACATGCTACCACTGGCTCAGATAATGAAAAACAACAAAATAAGTTACCATAGCTATGCGGATGACACACAAATTTACGTAACAATTTCACCAGGAGACTATGCTCCAATTCAAACACTGAGTAAGTGCATTGAACAAATCAATGACTGGATGTGTCAGAACTTTCTCCAATTAAACAAAGATAAAACTGAGGTAATGGTTTTTGGAGCCAAGGTAGAACGTATAAAAGTTAGCGCTGAGCTTCAGTCTGCAATGTTCAAAACAACAGATAAAGCCAGAAATCTAGGTGTAGTCATGGACTCTGACCTGAGTTTCAACAGTCACATTAAAACAATTACTAAATCAGCCTACTATCACCTAAAGAATATATCCAGGATTAAAAGACTAATGTCACAGCAGGATTTGGAAAAACTTGTCCATGCTTTTATCTTCAGTAGACTGGACTACTGTAATGGTGTCTTCACAGGTCTCACTAAAAAATCTATTAGAAAGCTGCAGCTAATTCAGAACGCCGCTGCTCGAGTCCTCACTAACACTAAGAAGGTGGATCACATCACTCCTGTTCTGAAGTCTTTACACTGGCTTCCTGTGTGTCAAAGAATAGATTTCAAAATATTGTTGCTGGTTTATAAAGCTTTGAATGGTTTAGGCCCAAAATACATGTCTGACCTACTGCTAAATTATGAACCATCCAGATCTCTCAGGTCTTCAGGGACTGGTCAGCTTTCTGTCCCAAGAGTCAGAACTAAACATGGTAAAGCAGCGTTCAGTTATTATGCTCCAAATATCTGGAACAAACTCCCAGAAACCTGCAGGTCCGCTGCAACTCTGACTACTTTTAAATCCAGGCTGAAGACTTTTCTTTTTGCCGCTGCTTTTAATTGAACTATTCACCTCTTAAACTGCACTGTAACTTTTATCCATGTATTTTTTCTTTTAATGTTTATTTTATTATCTTTTCTTTTTAATGACTGATTTTAAATGCCATTTTCTTAATGTCTTCCATTTTTGTAAAGCACTTTGAATTGCCTTGTGTTGAAAGGTGCTATATAAATAAACTGGCCTTGCCTTGCCTTGCCTATAAGCAAACACTGATACTTTAACTTCACGGGTCATTAAAGAGCAGTTGTGCAACCTTCTTCTAAGCTGCAGAAGGTCCTCTGTTTGCATTCAGTTTGGATGTTTTGTGAAAGATTACATTAGGGAGAGGCTGGCAAACAAATTGAATAAACTGCAGAAACCCCAGTACTAAGCCGGGTGAAAAAACTGTAGACAGTTAGGACATTTTGACATTTTACCCCAGAAATAACCCTAACCCTAACCCCAAACACCTGAAACCATAACTATTTTAAGGTCACCTATTATGCAAAATCCACTTTTCCATGTCTCTTCTACATCAACATGTGTCCCCTCTGTGTGAAGAGATTCTGAAAGTTTCAGGAAAAAAGATTCTCTCTCTTTTTGTCCTGATCCATTTATATAAAAACCTGTCTGAAAATGAGCTGATCAGATTTTGGCCACTTTATGATGTCATAACGATGTTTTGGCTTGTGTAACCATTAGCCAATCACCAACCAAGGTAACCCCCCCCCCCCACCTTATCACCTGACTCTCCTCCTAGAGCACCGTTAGGCGCGTTCACACCGCAGTACTTTTCCCACTTTAGTTCCGATATAGTTCCGAAATGTTGCGTTCACACCAAAAAGAGCCGGAACTAAAATTAGTTAATGAGAACCTTTTTACCCCCTTTTTCTCTGCTAGAGAGCAGGGACTTTCGTGGGAGAAAAAGGTTCCTATTTCTTATTATCCTCGCATTAGCATTATTAGCATTAGCATTAGCCCAGCGCACAAACGCAGAGAGAATAACTTATGGCAACACAAAAGAAAACATGGGAGCGGTGGAGATGAGGAGGTGTCGGCGTTCTGGCGATTTACTCGGAAGGCTTCAGTAGAAGCTGCTGGGAGTCCCAGCAGCTTCTACTGAAGCCAGTCCCCAACTCCGGGGACTTCCGGCCGGGGACTTCCGGTGGCAGTATACGCCGTGAAGTTGTTTGCGGCCTGCCAGTAAACCCAAAGCAGAAGAAGAAGAAGTGACGTCAGCGGCTTCATTTGCCTAATCCTCCCCCAGGGACTTATTCCGGTGTGAACGCGATCTGTATTTAGTTCATGAGAACTAAATAGTTGTCATGAACTAAGTTCTGATGAACCTTTGTGGGAAAAGTACTGCGTTGTGAAAGCGCCTATTGTGTTATTTTTAACCAAATATCTCTCAGAGGGGCGTGGGGAGTGGCTCCTTATTTTCATCTAAAGTAACATACAGAGAATCAGCACTTTTGAAACAGGGCTGAAACAGAGGGGATTATGGGATGCTGCAATGATCTGTTTGGTATTTGGAGCCAAACACTTCAGAGATATATTTTGTATCTGAGACCTATAATGTATTGATGAAAAACTGTATAATAGGGGAACTATAAAAAAAGCTTTGTGAAAAATATCAGTAAGGTTTCAATGTGACCAGGTTTAACCAATTAGGTATAATATGTCTCCACTTACCTGGGTACGGTACATGGAACCAGGGGGAGTTTGTCACAGCGTCCAGGCTGATGTCAGTCCTGGCTGAGAAACCATACTCATCGGACTTTGATGGAAATACATCAAAGATGGTCAGTAAGAAGCAGACCAACCAGGCGCCACACATCCCGAACAGAGCCTAGAATGTGTCATCAGATACAGAGAGTCTCAGCACAAATACACTGATGTTCAACCAATGTAAAACATAACAATTTATTTAAGCAACTTCTTTGGGCCTGTTGAGGCAGAATTCACAGCATGTTCTGAAGAATAAAAACCCTTGAAGCTATTGAGTAAAATATTAAACTCACCTACTGTACATGCCTAGCATCTGATAGCCTGCCAATCATCTGATTTCTAAATGCTCCTAAACACCTGAGCTCTGTTAAGTGCCTCGATAAACATTCATCTGTTTGTCATCTTGCAATTGACTTATTTATCTAAATAGTTATCACCGTAATAAACCGTATTTAATTTCGTCTTAAAGGTGGGGTAGGTAAGTTTGACAAACCGGCTCGAGATACACTTTTTGTTATATTCCATGGAATGCTCTTAACAGCAATGAATATCTTAAGTGCTTTGACAAAAAATCCATTAAAAAATGTCATCTGTGGAAGCCATAGTACTGTAAAAAGCACGACCAATCATTTTAGCCGGGCCGGCTAAAATAACTGGATGGCCTACCTGCCTGTCAGCCTTCCATCTGTGCACAAACTTATCTCATGCCCTCATTGGTCATGTGCGCGTTCATGTGTGTTGGAGGAGGGGCTCTGTAAGGAAGTGGCAGATTTTTTCCTGGTTGTGTATTTTCAAATTCAAGCGCACTCGAGCTGGTTTCTCCAAAATTACCTACCCCACCTTTAATATACAATATGTAATTGAAAATTCTGTTCTTGTCATATTCTATTTACATGTATATAGACTTCTTGCACTATTTCTTATTTGTATTTGATTATATATGTTGCATTGTTGGAGGAGCTGGGGTCATAACATTTTCATTGCCTTTTCTACACTGTAGCTTATGTGTATATGACATTAAAACCTTTGAATCTTGAATTTCAATCACAAGCCAACGACAAGCCAAAGACATGGATGTGTTACTGTACTGTTTCTAGATCAATCTCAGCCTGGATGTGCCTTTGTACAATACGCCTTGGGTACCGGTGTGCACTTCTGAAAGCATTTGTAAAGGGATTATGTGGGAGTAAAGAGTCCTGCAGAAGAATGTTGATCTTTGATGAAAGTCAAACAGTAGCTTAAGGCAAGGGTTCCCAAACCTTTCAGCTCGCAATCCCCAAAATAACAGTGCCAGAGGCTGGCGACCCCTGTCAACGGGGGGGGTGGGTGGGTGTTAGTGATTTGTCAATGGGGGGAGGGGGTGCTAGTGAATTGTCAACGGGGGGTGCGCTAGTGGATTGTCAATGGGGGAAGCCTCGCTGCGGGGAAATTCTATAGATGGCCAGTTCGCCCCTGACAAATGTCTATGCACACGTTATTATTTTTTTTATAATTGTTTTATTTTACATTTTTTATTTGTAATCATCTCGTGACCCCCCCCCCCGGGGTCTCGCGGACCCCACTTTGGGAACCCCTGCCTTAAGGGCAGAATAACATGCCAGAGAAATGTGTTTATACTGTTTCTGCACTGTTGCCATTTTGATACCTTCATTTATAGTTGTATAGAGGAGAAATCATTGTGTAAAAGCTTCATATTTAAACTACAGATGTAACATTCAGAGTAAGACATGCATTACACAACCACTTACAAATGAATGGGACCTTCCAAGAAACTGTTGGGTGTTGGCTAACCTCATACATTCTCTTTTTCTATGTACGTTAATCCCTGGCTCAAAGCGCCACCTTTTATTTTTGTATGGCTTGATTTGATTGACAACAAACAGTGATGAATAGCTTTGAATAACACAACTTTGTTTACTGTAAGTTCAAGACCTTCAGGGTTTTTTTTGTTAGGCGTTTTAGGCGTTCACAAGATGTGAGTCATTCTGTCAAAAATGTGTGGAGCTTAATTCATAAACCATTCAAACCCTGAAGCCAAACAGAGTCCTACGGCCTTTCGTTTTCTGGATGGGCTCCTACATTAAGTTTTATATATTTTTCAATCTTTTAAAACCACTTCTTCACAATAATCATTCACAACAAGCTGCTTCAAAGCGTGGCCTACCAACCTTATGCTTACTATTCCTGTAACACCTGTTTTGTTCACCTCTTGATGAACTGAAAGTAAAATGTTCTGCCTATTGATAAAAACAAGGGTAACACTTTATTTTGATAGTCCATAGTTAACACTTTATAAGTCATCAGTTGATATTTAGTAGCATGTCAACAGTGCATCAGTTGACATGTATCAGTTGACATTCAACAGCACCGTTCAAACCGACAAGTAACTAAGCATTAGTTGATGATCAACAGATAAGCAACTTTAGAGTTTAGTTGACTATTACATTACGCATTAGTTGATGATCAACAGATAAGCAACTTTAGAGTTTAGTTGACTATCTGTTGATCGTCAACTAATCTAGAGTTGACTATCAGTATACTTTTAGTAGGCATTCTCCACTAAGCGTTTGTAGGCATGTGTTAGGACTATCCAATTAAAGTGAAAAACAGTTGAGAACAGTAGAAAGTCTATAACCTATCAACAGAACACATACATTCATCCACTAATTCCAACGGTCCTCCCCCTGGTTCACGGACGACCTCCACCCCATGAAAACCTGCGGTCGACAGCTGGAGAGACTATGGAGGAAGCAGGCTCTCGCCGTCCACCTTCAGAGAACACCAAAGTGCCTATGCTACTGCTCTAAAAAATGCCCGCTCTTCATACTACTCGTCAATAATAGACAACGGCAAAAGCAATCCTAGAACCTTATTCTCCACTATCAACCGCCTTCTCAACTCCTCCAACACAGGCCCCCCAGCTGCCTCTCCAGAACTCTGTAATAACTTCTCTGCTTTCTTTAAGACCAAGATCGCAGATATCAGAGCAACCATTACAGCCTCAACAGTAGCTCGGACCCCACCCACCTGCTCTCCCTTCATCAACGGCATCACCCTCTGCAGCTTCAACGAGGTGACGTCATCTGCACTGCTAGCCATCATAGGCAAATCGAAGCCTACCAGCTGCTCCCTCGACCCCATACCCACCCCGCTGCTAAAAACCTGTTCGCCAACCTTGGTTAATTTCCTGACAACACTCATCAACAAGTCACTACAGACTGGTGAGGTGCCTGTCCATTTCAAAACAGCAGTTGTCACCCCACTTTTGAAAAAAACAAATATCGACCGAGAACTCCTCTCCAACTACAGACCTATCTCCAACCTCCCGTTCCTTGCCAAAGTACTTGAGAAGGTTGTGGCCGCACAGCTCCAGTCTCATCTGTCTGACAATAAAATGTATGAGACCTTCCAATCAGGTTTCCGACCTTGCACACAGCACAGAAACAGCCCTAATAAAAGTAGCCAACGACCTGCTGATGGCAGCTGACTCTGGGTCACCCAGCATCCTGGTCCTACTTGACCTGAGTGCAGCTTTCGACACAGTGGACCATACCATCCTCCTCCACCGCCTCGAGACCTACACCAGGGTGACGGACACGGCTCTGAAGTGGTTCTCCTGCTACCTCACCAACCGGAAGTACCACGTGGCTCTGGGGGGTTCCAGGTCTGATGACACCGCAGTGACATGCGGGATCCCACAGGGCTCAGTGCTGGGGCCGATCCTGTTTTTAATCTATCTATTACCTCTGGGTCATATCATCAGACAACATAACATCAACTTCCACTGCTATGCTGACGACACCCAGGTCTATATCAAAACACAACCCAATACCACCAATACTATCCAAACACTAAACACCTGCCTGGAAGACATCCGCTCCTGGATGACCACCAACTACCTCCAGCTCAACAGCAGCAAGACTGAGGCAATCCTGATAGGCACCACCGACCAGCTTGCCAAGGCCGCCAACATCAGCCCCTCCCTTGATGGTCAGCTCATTTCTCTCTCCTCCGTTGTCACCAACCTCGGTCTAAGGTTTGACCCCACTCTGTCTTTCCAAGCCCACATCAAACATATCACCAAGACCTCCTTCTTTCACCTGAAAAACATTTCCTGACTGAAGCCCTCACTCTCAACTGATGACACCAAAAAACTGGTTCATGCACTCGTCTTCTCAAGACTAGATTATTGCAATGCATTCCTTTCCGGTCTCCCAGCCAAATCCATCAACCGCCTGCAACTTGTCCAGAACAGTACAGCCAGAGTTCTCACCGGTACAAAAAGGTCCGCACACATAACCCCCATACTTGCACAACTACACTGGCTCCCAGTCCACTACAGGATCCAGTTTAAGGTTCTGCTCCTCACTTACAAAGCCCTGAATGGACAAAGCCCAAAATACCTCTGTGACCTCATCCGTACCCAGACATCTACCCGCTCTCTACGCTCCAGCCACGCTCCACTTCTTTACATCCCCCGCACACGTCTCCGAACAATGGGAGACCGAGCCTTCTGCTCATTCGCCCCGCGCCTCTGGAACTCCCTCCCAGATCAGCTGAGATCTGCACCTTCCACCGAGGTCTTCAAAACCGGCCTTAAGACCCTCTTCTTTCGGCAGGCCTTCCAATAAACTTTGAGCATGGTACACCAGGAGTATTGCCATTTTTATCGCTATCTCCGACTTTTATTTAATTTATTTATTTTTATTTTATTTTATATTTAATTTTACATTTTTATTTAATTTTGTTTTAATAATTTGTATTATTATTATTTGTTTAATCTCTCAAATTGTATCAGTGTCCTTTGCTGTGAAGCACTTCGAGATTTGTCTTGGCAGATGAGAAGCGCTATATAAATTCAATTTATTATTATTATTATTATTAATTATATGCAACAGACATGGGAATAAAGCGAAATGTTTTGCACAACTGATCACGAACACTGGATAACTGAAGTCAATACCAGGCTATAAAGCACAGTAGAACAAACACTATATGCAGCATATCAGAGAAAGAAAGCTTTTTTATTTTAAGAATATACTACAAATATAGTAAAAACACTGAACAGTTGTGAAATGGTCAACAATAAAGTTTGAAACCCATTATCTACCAGCTGGTAGT